CACTTCCGGGAGGTTAAATGGTAACCCACAGACGACACCCATCACTCTGGGTTTGGGCGCTGAGTTCACAATGTTTTCCACAGGGACTAGCTGGCCTTCACCAGGCAGCACTGCGTGTTTTAAAAGAACAGCAGTCCACAGACAAGGGAGTGTTTGTGAAGAGCAGTAGGAGCTTTTAACTGTGTTTAAATTTTCCAAATAAAGGTGCCACCTGTGACTATGCTAGCATGGAGACTTCATCCTTACCATCCCTTAAATGCCAAAGTTGCAGCCTACAGAGCTGGCTCTACATTATTTGATAAAGCTAAATGCATATGTAAAATTTAGAGTGGTTTTTTCTTAAGCCCTTGCACTGTTGTGCATCCATATTTAGCGCAGGTCTGTGACCAGGGGCATGGGGATATTTGTTCCCCTGCAAGGACTTCTCTGACACCAGCGGTGTGCTCTATGCATCCATTCGACTCTGATGCTGATGAATAAGCAGAGAGCTTGGTCACGAAAGACAGCCCCCGATGCTGCAAATGCCTGCTTCCAGGGTAGCGGGGTCCCTCCTCTGCCCTGAGTCTACGTCTCCACACCTTCTCACATTCTGCAATTTGCTAGGACAGCGTCAGAGCAGGAAGCCTGTCCAGTGACTTCTCACATGGTAATGGAGATGACAAGGGGCGCAGAGGCCGCCTGGTCCTGAGGTACAGAGGGTGAGGTGAGCAAGCTTTGTGGGAAGGCCTTCAAGAGTCCAGGCCAGGCAGGCTTCCCAGGACAAGCTCTCCCAGCTCCTAGTTCATGAATATTCATAGGCTCCTCACCACCTGGGGGCTGATCATTCAAGTAGCCTGCCCTTGCCAAAGATGGGGAGCAGGCTGAGCGTCTCAGGCTTCTCATCACGGCTTGACCTTCCTGACGACCAACCCCACTCCAAAGTAGACAGAGGATGTCTGCTTATGTCTCCTAAAACAAAGATGCCACTGTTGGCCAGGAAAGTCGAAGGGGTTGAGATTTGGACTCAATGCTATGAACAGGAGAAACTGTGTTAATGTATCTACACAGGCCTATGTGGAGACACAGAGCAATTTCTTTCGTGGAAATGATATGTGTGTTCTATCACACCAGAGGTCTGATGTTGATGAAAAACTCCAGGCGGCAAGCACTCTGGGACTCTTCCAAGGTGCTAATAAGAGAGGCTGCCTCTTGAAACGAGGGCTTGCTTGGGTCACGGGACTGGCTGGGTAAATGTCCGCCCAGCGGTTTCCACACTCAAAGGCCGTTTCAGAGAAATCCATTTAACGTTTTCCTAAGGGGACTTCCCAGGCTTGGAATAAATCTAAATTCACCTAAATAAATTAATAAGCAGGGAACATGCAGGAAAATGGCCAGGATGACAGTTCAAAAGTGCCTCTTTGGATCACAAATAACTGAAGATGGATGTTGGTGACAGGTTCATGATCCGGGAAATCCAAAGGCATTAGACAGTGATATTTGCATCTGTGTTATTTTGTGATGTCCACAGAGTAGCCAAGCACTAACTGTGTTGGGTGGAGATTCCTGACATTTTTGTGGGAAAGGCCTGAAGAGGTGGCCAGAGCTACCCAAGGCTCTTCCATCTTACCCAGTTCCTCATTCGATCAGAAGCAAAGCAAAGCAATACCTACCCTAGCTGAAGGCAAAAATGTGGATGAGGTGATGCTGGGGTAAGAGTCACATCCGAAGTACTTTGCTGTGGTTTTTATTTGGTTCTCCAAAGACTGGCAGGGACAGGGCTACGATTTCAGCTGCATTCTAAATAGGAAAAAAGTGACTATGTATCCAAACTCAGACATAGAGCTTGAAGAGGAAGAAAAAAAGTAGCTGATAGGAGCTGGGAGGCTCATCTGATGAAGTGCTCCCCATAGAAGCATAAGAACCTAAGCTCCACCCCTAACACCCACAAAAACACCGGTCCCAGTGGCGGGAATCCCCAGGCCTGGGGAAGCAGAGTCAGCTGAGAGCTCACTGGCCCTCCAGCCCAGCTCAAGGAGTATTATGGAACAGTGTTGCCCAATATTTGAAACCAAGACACTAAAACTACTGCCTTCAAGAGGAGAAAACCTAAGACTTCCGATACATCGTTTCCTTGCACAGCTGGGTTTGTTGTTATATGGGGAAGCTTCTTTGTCTTCCTCGTTTATATGAGGTTCTTTCCAATCTAGCCAAACACAAGGGAACTATGAGCTGACAGCAGAGCACAAGGAAGTGGAAGAGAGAAACTGTCAACATGAAAACCTTACGCACAAAATGTCACAGACCCCAGGGACAATGGGACCAGCTAACATGATATCACCCTTTTCACCAGTGAAAGACAGCAAAGCCGGCAGGAGAGAGGGTGCCACCTTTTATTTTCTTGTATCAACCGCTCCCTGCAGAGGCGAAAGAAAGGCCCTTTGGCTCCTGCGGGGAGTGGGGGTGTTTAAGAACTGACGGAGCGTTAGAAGGTAGAGCAAAGAGATAGCTGTGCACTGGCACTAGAAGCCAGACCATCCTTGTCAGTGCAACGCTGAGGCTGTTGGAAGTGTGGGCCCCCCATGGGCTTCTTTCTCTCCTGCTACAGTGGGACAAAGTCCTCCATTTCTCCTGGCAACTAAGAGCCAAATAACTACTGCCCCACTTGCACTGCCTCAGCCTCCAGGGTTGAGGCTGCTGCCCAAGCTCCCGCTGCCTCCCAGACAGTGCACACCACTCTAGACCCGCTGACTCCACCTGCCTTTACCCTTCCTTTTAAAAACATCTATCAGCCTGTTTCTCTCCCCCTCCTCCCAACTCTTCCTCTTCCTCCGCCCCACCTCTGTGCACAGGCCGGTGGCCCTCAAACGGTGACCTTGGATGTCTGTGTTTTCTTCACCGTGCTTGTGAAAGTCCTTCTCCTTGCTCTTAGCTGCATGCTAGCTGGCCTGTGGGCTTCCAGGGAGTGGCCCATCTCTGTCTGCCATCTTGCTGTAGGGCACTGGGAATACGGAACTGTGCTATTGCATCTGTGAGTGCGTTTCCGTGAGCTCGTTCTGGGAGTTCTGGGGATCTAAACTCAAGTCCTTACAACTGGTGTGGCAAGTGTGTTTCCCACTGAGCCTGCTCCCAGCGCTCGCCCTTCCTTCCTTTTCGAGCAAGTCCCTCTCCTTGTCCTTGAGGGATCTGTGCCTATCGAGTGGGCTTCCTCAGCATCCAGCTTTTGATGATCCTTGCAATTTCCTCTTCTCCTCCCCTCCTCCCACACCTATGTATCCAAATTCAGACATAGAGCTCCACCCTCCTTCTCCTTTGCCTTCCTCCCACTCCTCCTCTAGCTCCTCACCCGAGACCATCCTCACCCAAGACCATCTCGAATACCCTATCACATGATCCCAAGGTGGACCAACCACCCTTGCAAGCTCTGTCCTCTGCAACACTGCAGGCTCCTCACCGCCCCACCCCCACCCTGTTGCTGACACTCCCTAACCCTCCTTAGTGATGCTTTCGTCCTGTCCTCCCAGCTGCTCACTTAGGACACTTTGCGGGTATTTTCCATCTCCAGCAGATGACAGCTAAGCAAAGCAGATGTTTCAATATTTGTCAAATGAGTGAGAGTAGCTGTGCGTACGCTCCTATGCTCACAGTTCCTGAGAAAGTGGATGCGCACCCAGCAGGCACAGGCCTTCCAGAACTTCCAGGCACCAGGGTTTCTGGGAAATGGACTTAACTATCCCCCAGAAGGCGGTGTGTGGCAATCCATCTAGACAGGCTCGATCTGGCCCGGTCCCTGGGTAATTGACTGGCTTAATAGCTGTGACTCCGGGGTCAGTGATTCCAACCACATTGTACAGTCTCGGCTGCCTGGTGAAACTCAAAGCCCAGTGTTCTCTCAGGCCCAGCAAACCCAAACCCCCGGGGTGAGAACCGGCACCAGTACTGCCAGGGCTCGCCCGCTGATTCTCGTGGGCAGCCAGGACCCACAACCACTGCTTATGACAGAGAGTGGGTGAGGTTACCAGAATCTCATCCCAGCTGCTTTTTATCCACTTCTGCAGACTGAGGCCAAGCAAGGGAAAGAGTACAGGTCTCTCTAAAGCGCCGAGGTGTGAACCCACACTAAAGGAGGTCCCCTCTACTGCACCTCCTGCCGTGGTTACACACTCCCCTGCGAACCTGGTTTCTGTGCGCTAGGGCACGTGGCCTTACCAAATTGTTAAAAAGCATCACCTCGGGGGACATGAGCACAGACTCCGGCTTGTATGCTGGAACAAAGCTCAGTCTGATTCTCTTGGTCTACACAGAGGCAGGCAGAGGCACTGCCTGGCTCCCTTTCTTGCCTACAACAGCTGAAAGGGTTAGACTAACTTTGTAACTTATATGTCTTCTAAAGCCTATAGTTTTGAGTTTTAGGTTTAGGTTAAGCTAAAGCCTCTTAGTACCTTTCCAGAGAATGGAAAAATGTGACCCTATCTATGAGGACAGATAGAAAAAAAGGCAAGCAAGCAATGACCTTCACTCAGCAAAAAGAAAAACTCCTGTCTTTGAGATAGCATTTCTTAGCAACAAACCTAGACTTCTTCTGAGTAGCTTTTGACCTCCAGCCAAAAGGACCTTGAGCACCTAAGACTAACCAATTATCTTACTTTACAGCTTCCTCATCCAATCCTAGATTGCCAAGACTGCAACTTCAAATCTCCCGCAATTTTTCTTTTAAAAACCTAAAGGCCTTTGTCTCCCGGTGCCACTCTTTGCTGACCGGCAGGGGTGACCCCATTGCGCAATGGTTGATAAACCTCTTGCTTTTGCAACGAGTCTTGGTCTGGGGGAGTTTCTGGGAAGGGCGCGATCTTGAACTCCTGAGCTGTGAGACCCCAGGTCTTACACAGCAAACACGCTAACCTTCCTTTGTCCCCGTGAGTCCCCGTGACTTAGCCCCGTGAGGAGCTAACACAGACAAGTGTTTAAACTTTGAGGGAAACTGCAGTTGTAGCAGGTTCACATGAGAATTTTTTTTTCTTTTTCAGGGGAGAGCGCGGACACAGTCCCCCACTACCACAAATTATGCAGTCGAGTTTCCTGAATTTGGGGAAATCGAAGGGGTCAGCACATCCGGAGTGCGATGGATAAGCCTCGCCCTGGGAAAACCACCTTCATGATCATGGTAACTCCCCTGCCAGGTAAGTATGAGATTTTTTTTTTTTTTTTTTTTGAGTCAAAGAAGTTTCAATATATATATATGCTGTCTTCGGGGTGAAATCATAGGGCAGAATCATAGATTTAACCCCCTCTGAGGAAGAACCCTGAGAACTTCCGAAAATGCTTTCAGAGACTAGTTAGGAGGAAGATGATGCTGTTGGGGAAGCCAGATTTCCCCCACCCACTTCTGGCAGAATCTATTAACTATTCCACGGAAACTGCTGCTGGGTTCCCAAGATGCTTCTGTGTACACTTTGTTGCTAAATGTATCCAGTTGTATTGGTTTTGGCATAAATGGTTACCAACTTTCTGGGAGTGATTCTTTCAGGGGTTAAACAAGACTTTTACATGAGCCTTTTTTAAACACTGGCTTATCTACAGGTGCCAGCGCGGACAATATCCTCAGAGTTGGTTGTAGGAAGCCTAAATCAGCTCAGTGTTGGCAAGCTGAAAAACGTGTGGCCCAGACATTGTTAGACTGTAGACCGACCCAGACTCACTGTGGCTCAGCCTGCAGCTCACACCTAGGTGGCTGGAGAGTGAGGCTTTTCCAATAGAAACTGTGCTTCGGGTTGTGAATTTGGATCTTTTCCTGGCTGCTGATGTGCAGGATTGTAGCCGGCTGATGTTGGGCAGCTGCAGCAAGCTCCCGGGTCAGCCAGGTCATCATAAATCAGTTACTGGACAGACGCTGTGCTCCAAGCAGCGGTGTCTGCTGGGGTCAGTGGACTGTGTGTGCTGTCCAGTCACAGCTCCAATTTACAGTCGGTTTCTCAGGCTGTAACCCCATGATAAATCAACCAAAAGGCTTCAAAATTTCTCTCAGGGGCTCAACAGCCAAGAGTACCTGCACTCTTACAGAAGTCCTGGCTTCAGGTCCCAGCACCCATGTGGTGGTCACTCACAACTATCTGGACTTAAAAAAGGATTCAATACCCCCTCACCACTGCCAAGAGCACCAGGCAATATCTTCATGGAGACACTGATGCAGGCCCATGAAACAAAAATTCATAAAAGACTGTTTTCCTTCCTCAGGTCACTTCACCACTTTGGCAACGATGCAAAAAGAAGTCTGAGAATCCAAGAGCCCAGTGTTCAAATCCCAAGTCTTCTGTAGATTCGCTACAGCCAAAAAAAACTCCTATCGCTGAGCCCCAATTTCCTTAGGAAGAAATTGAAAATTGCAAAACCCGTGGGAGAAATGCAATCAGTGCCTTAAAAGCCCCCGGATGTGGCATCGGGGAGATGGGTGCCTGCCAACCCTCTGCTGGGAAACTTCCTGGGGAGGTGGCCGCTAGTCCAAGAGGCTGTCCTGGAAGGTTCAGCTTCCAAGACTGTATGGCCGTTCCATCATCTCAAGAACACAGAGGGGTCAAGAGGCCAGCAAGCAGGCAAGAAAGCATCCAGGAGTGGTTGACTCAGGATTTCCAGTCAAGTTCTAGAATTATGGGAGCCGCATCAACCTCTGGGGTGTAATTATGGCTCTGGAATGTGCTGGCTTTGTGGCTGTGCTGGGCTCTGTTCTCAGTAGCAATGCCTGAGCAGCCCTGCTACCGACCTCAGACAAGAGGAACCAATGTTAGTGCTAAGAAGTTCAGCGTCGCTGCAGAAGAGACATCTTCAAGCCCGGAGATTGCCCCTCTCAAATGGTAAAAGGAGCCAGACATCCACAAAGAGCAGCCATAGAACAACACCCTTGCTTGTCCGTTCACCATTTCTGGAGGTGTTCAGACTAGCGCTGGCTGAAGTATTTGCTACGATTTCGTATTCACATCTGTCCACACCGTCGCTGTGGACTGACCTGGCATAGCGCCTTAGTTCCCTGTGGCTGCTATAACAAGTTATCATGGACAGAATGGCTCGAACAAACGCATATTTCCCGAAGATCTGGAGGCTGGAAGTCAAGGTCCAGGCACCTGCAGATCCGCTCTCTGGCGACAGTTTGCTTCCTGGCTTGCCAGTCCCTGGCTCCTTGCTGTGTATGCCCTTGGCCAAAAGAAAGCTAAGCAGCTTCTGATAACTGCTAGTCACAGGCTCAAGGCCTTACCCTCAGAACCCAAGTGTCTCCGAGAGAGCCTGCCTTCTGATATCACGCTGGGATTAAGGGCTGAGCCAGCATTCTGCACAGGGACAAGGAAACCAAACACCCCAAATCTCTGACACCTGCCATATGTGCTTCAGTTTCTACAGGTGTATGTCAAGGTTTATGACCCTGGTTTTGTAAACAATTGGCTTTTCAAAACCATACATTCCACCTTTACATGTTCAGACAACCACAGGTGGGAAATATCCAGAAACATAACAAAGTGTCTGTGCTGCTCACGCACAGATGTTTCATCTTGCCACTACTGCATACAGTCTAGCATGGCAGCAGACACACAGCACTTAGATCGTACAGACATCACTTGTTACGTAGAAGTGGTGTCAAGTCTACAGGCAGCTGTACACAAGATACCGTACCATTTCGTGTAATGGGCTGGTCATCCTTCAACTTTGGTGCCAACTGAAGACTCGGGAACCGTCCCCTGCAGACAGCCAGAGGTGACTGCACATCTCTTGGCTCTTAACCCTGTGTTGTCGCTGACACCTCGCAGCCCTGTTGAGTCTGCCTGGAGCCGTTCTGACTGGGTCATGCATTTGCAATTCACTTGTGAAGTCACTTCTCAGAAATAATCCTTGTCCGTCTCCCTGGACCAGGTGGCAAAGCTGCTGGGATGCCAGCTGGCCTGACGGCTGCCCACTTCCTGTCCAGGTGTGCATGGGTCCGTGAAAACCTGATCCATCACCGCTTGCCCTGGGGTCACTGAATCTGCAAAGCTGTGTCCCAGGCACCCCCACTCCCACGCACATACATGTAACTATAATCTTCTCTGGCCACAAATGATCACCTAGGACACTTTAGCTTTAGAGGTGGGTCTGGGTGTGGCTGATCAGACCTGTGTTGTCTCCTTCCTCTCTTTCTTTCATGATATGGACTCTGTCTTTAGAGCCACCAGGAATGCAAGCCCCAACCTGAGCCGGTCGGCCCACAGTAATGGACCAGAGAGAACACCAGCCAGTTGCTACGGGCTACAGGACTTACTGGAAACCGTGGTTGGGTGGTTGGCTCCGTAGTGCGTCCAGGCGGCAGTGTTCACCAGCCACTGAAATTGGGAAGCCTCGGCCTCCCCCTTGTCCATGCAGTGGTGCTGAGGAAAACCTCTGATTCCCACCTCTAAAGGTGACCTCGGCCCAGCTGCGGCCATAGAAACAGACTTAGAAAGCCCACCAACAGCAGCCTCCAGACCTCGAGATGCTGAGTACGCCAAGCAGGGCCCCAGTCATGTTCAGCAGCCATGCTCAGTGGGTCTGTTGCTATCTTGTACCAGAGGTGGTGGGCCTTCCTCGCCATCCCCACTCTGCATTCGTTTGACTGTCAGCAGCGGAAGCCTCTCAGGGTGGACTGACAGCTGCTCCCAATTTCCTTCATTTCTGTGTTTCCATTTCCCGCCCTGCCCCCTCCTCCTCTGCCCACCTGGAGCGCCTGGCACAGAGCTCAGCACAGGGCTGGATTTGGAACCGGGAATTCTCCAGGGAGTCATTTCCCAGATATCCCTAAACCTGTCAGAATGCTCAGTGAGGATAGCAGCAGACGAGAATGCTCTTGATAGGTGGAGCCGTGCTTCCAATGGCCACTTCAGACAAAGCTTTTCTCACCTGCCGCAGGCCGAGGTCAGGGCTGGGCAAAGCACAGGTCCTTCCCGCAGCGTCCCCCCTCACCCCTGGTCATAAGCCGCTGAGGCAAGCACAGAAGGTGTTGGTGAAGAGGGTATGTTCCTCCCCAGTAACACCCAGGAGAGCAGGTACAGTCAGCAAGGGTCAAAGGTGAAGGCTCCAGCTCCATCTTCCTACCAACAACCCAGTCTACCTGGCGTTCCCAACAAAATAGGAATTCCTACCTCTGCCCCAGTGCCCACCCTGATCTGCCCCAGAGTGCAGCTCATCTGGCCCACTCCCCTATTCCCTTCACCACTACGTGAAGACACTTGTGGTCCTCAGCTAGACATGGCCTGACTGTTGCGTTTGAGGCAGCATCTGGTCTCACTCTGTAGGCCGCTTGGCCTCATACTTGTGATCCCTCTGGCTTCTGAGAGAGAATATGAGTGTGTGCCACGCCTGGCTCTTCCGGCACCTCTGAGGATGTTGTGCCCTCTCTCCAGGCAGCTCCATCTTGTGTCTAAGACCCCCTGCTTTCCCTCACACAGTCGCAATCATCAGACCAAGATAGACCCCAGCCGTTGGTTGTCTACACGGCCCTTCAGTCTTTCATGGCACTTCCCACATGAATCTCCAGCTCACGCCTCTGCCCAGTGGTGGCCAGATCGCCTTCATCTATTGGCATCGCATGGCCACACACAGAGCAAGTCGTCAAAAACTGATTGCTAAGTGAATAGAAGTAATGATCAAGGATAACTTTAAGCCAAAAAAACCAGATGCCCAACTTCACTCATTTGGAGACTAACACACTGGCCTTAAAGCGGTAACACTGGTAAACACTGACCTCACCTCCCCTTCAATAAACGCTAGCTTAGTGGGCTTGGTGGGGGCTCAGGCAGTAAAGCATTTGCTGCATAAGCACGAGGACAAGGGCTCACATGCCTAAGAGCCATGTGAAAACTAGGGCTGGCAGCGTGTGCCCATGACCCCAGCACTGAGGACGTGCCGCAAAGCCAGTCCACCCAACACAGCGAAGTCCAGGTTGAAGGAAACACCTTGTCTCAAAAGAGGAGATGGAAACAATGGAGAAAGTCGCCTGATATCACCAACTGACAACCACACATGCGTGAGCACACACACCACATCACACACACATACACACACATAATACACACACCACAACACACACAATACACACACATACCACACCACACAAATACACACACTCACACACTGGCACGTGGTGGTGAGGGGTGCACTCGGGTTTTCTGACGGGGCTGCTCCCTGGCATCA